CATAGCTTGCATAATCAAGTCTTCTATCGAAGACTCGGATGAAAGTGTACGTGCATTGTACGTACAGATCGTCACCATAGTTCCTCGTGATCCAGGCTGGTTCCATTGGCCCTGGGATTTTAGCAGCCTCTTCGTACTCGTCCTACCAATCGCTGTCGAATTAGGAGCGCTTTCTGGGTCAGGGGAATGAGGACCGTTTCCTGGGTATACTCACGGGTAGCTTTGCAGTCTCTTCCAGAGTGGACATGGAGCTTATTTGTTGGGGGCGACTCCAAGTTGCCCCCAATATACTTCCCTGTCTCTTAATTTCAGGCTTTTGGCCGAATTGACTCGTAGAATACAATCCGTATAATCTAGGACGCACCCACACACGCTTGAATGAATACGCCCCCTAAATACAGAAGGTATGTGCCAAATTAGCGCAGCAGAAACAGGGAGTCCATCCCCTGAATCCACCTGAGTCTCAGAGAAGCAAAAGTTACTTTTGGTCCGCGATTAACCCCCTATCCGACACTTCGGAACGCGCCACGTAGCCTCGCGACTAACCGGCTCGAGATCGCTCATATGAGGGAGATCCATGGTCAAGTACATATACAGGTGATAATTCTCTTTCCGCCTACGGTTGCCATTATCAGGGCTAATAGGTTTATTCCGAGGCTTCGGACTTCATGGAACAACTGGGACTGACGACCTGGGATAGGTTACACATGATAAATAAGAGGCTTCAACGTATTCATCCATTCATTCACTGAACTGTGACCATCATAGTGTGCTACCGTTATAATGAACTCTTTCGGTCATGGAGTCTAGGGAAGGTGGGATTTTATACTTCCATCCCCACGTTCACAACAACCGCCAATTGTTATCGTAGAGCCATTATTTAAAAACTTTATAAAGGAATTGTCACAACAAAAGTCATGACATGTCAAGAATGTCACTACATCAAGAACAAACAATGTGGTTCCGAATCATACCGATACAAACCAAATACACTTTTTAAAAAAAACTTAAGAAAAAAGCATGGTGAAATTCGAATTGAATCTCCCGTCTAAAACCTATAAAATCCCTAAACAGACTAGTAACCAGGAAAAAAAAAGTTAACATATGTATATAGTTGTAAGACACAATATCAATGGGTAATAATATTGGAAACACGTTCAATGTTAAGTTCATGAGAATCGTATGCGTATTTCTTTGGCCTAATGGTCCCGAATTTTTTCAGGATTAATGAACAGCCACGTCGAATAGAGTTGGTAGGTCACACAGTGAAATAAATATCTGTTACAAGCTTTCTTATGGTTTACAACAACAACAGAAACCAGCGAATTAAATGGTACAACTGATTGTATTGAAATAAAATCTTAAGAGTTTCTTATCTTAAGAGAATTCTGAAATGTGAAGCTTTCTGAAAAAATTCTCAGGATATGGCTACAGTTTATGGTAAGGGGACACACCTTAAAACAGAAACGCTATCGTATTAAGAAGAGTTGCGCCGCACTAATGTCTTTTTTGTTCTTCACAAAAATACCCGAATCAATTAATGAGAAGGGAAAGGCGGCTTGAACTTGGATCGGACCCTCTATTTGGAACACGACAAAGTCTATGCCCTTAAGTTAGTGTGCTAGCTTTACGGAAAATGCCAAATCTGATCGACATATTACGTCGTTCCTCACACTATCAGACATCAGGAGGGTCCGTTTTTCCGGCAAGATTGTTTGGAGGCGTTAGTGTTGGAGTTGTGTCCGTATTGGAGGAGGCAGTGTCTTCAGTGCCAGCGGACTGATTTCGTGGTTCCATTTCGGATGAATTGTTTCGTTCCTCTTTCATGCTAAAGTACTTTGAGTTATATCTTGTCAAATCTGTATTACAGCTTCACATCTCCTAACTGTTAAAGGTATAAAGTACAAAAGACGATAAAGCTCTCGGCGTCGATCAATCGCTGAGGGATGCGAAATGCATTCGACTTCATATCGCTTCGTTTCGTATCTTCCTATCGTTTGGAGGTGATTGAATACATATCTGTCCTTTACAATGACTCGCGGTGGCCTACCGATGTATCGAGCCAGTGCTGCTATCTTCCCAGACATGTCTGGTACCAATTTGCCGAGCCCGGAGAAATGGAGAACCAGGTGGGCCATGGGCGCGAGGATCGATTCCACGTTTGTGTCGCAGTGGCGCCTCCAAACACCCCGCCGCATGCTCCGTATGGGTACTGTTAGTAACAATGATCACGACAGTAATAGTAACGGTGGCGATAATAATAATAATAATAATAATAGTAATAATTCAAAAGATTGACTTTCTATAAAGCTCGGAATAATAATCTATACATCTGTATATTTGTTCATGCGAACTGCTCAGTTTTAGCCCGACACGAGGCTGGTATAGATGTTCTTATCGTTGTTGTTGCTTTTGTTCAATGGCTGGCGTTTCGCGACTTCGCCTTCCTCAAAGCCTTGCCGTTGGACCACCCGTGTGTTCTCTTCTCTCTTGAAACTCTTCAGGCGTTTTGGATAAATTTCAAAAATCCAAAGGTAAACCGAAGGACGAATGCCTCACTATCACACGTGACCTGGCGCCCTATTTCCAAATGATATTTTGACTCCTGGGTGTGCCTCGCTCGCGACTCCAAGTGAACAACACGTGAGCCAGTCCCACTCGTAACATCACGGTGAGTAGCCCTTCTGTTCAATACGGCGTATATTTAAAAATTTGATCCTCATTAATACTTTAGCCCTTTTTTCCACCGAATAGTTAAAGTATTCTTATATAAAATATGTCCAGGCTCTGAGGAAGGCGAGATCGCCGAAACGTTAGCCGAAAATAAACATCATTATCAACCTCGTGTAAGCTCATCAAAGAAAGAATACATATTGATTAGTGATACCGAGGTTCAGGGAAAGTCGGCTTCGAAATACAACAACTGTAGGAACATCTATACCAATCTCGCATCGGCTAAAAGCAGTTCGTAAAAACATATATGCAATAATAATAATAATAATAATAATAATAATAATAACAATAATAATAATAGCAACAACATTAATAATATTTCGAAACCGACTTCCCCTGAACCTCGGTATCACTAATCAATATGTATTCTTTCTTTGATGAGCTTACACGAGGTTGATAATGGTGTTTATTTTCGGCTAACGTTTCGGTGTCTTCGTCTTCCTCAATGCCGATGATCCGAGTCGATGGTCCTCGCTTGTTATTCGCCTCGACGTGGCAGCTTCGCCTTCGTGCCGAGTTAGGTCTTCTTCAGTAAGCCATCTCCTCGAATGAGGCATCCTTACTCAGTGATGCCCTTTTATACACGATGCTGATGGTCGATGTAATGATAATGTCCGGTGATAACAACTTGTTTTTCTTCCGGACATACATCATTGCGCACATCGTGCAGAAGTCGGTGTTGTTATCAGCTAGCACAAATAACAATAACAAGCGAGGACCATCGACTCGTATCATCGGCTCTGAGGAAGACGAAGACGTCGAAGCGTTAGCCGAAAATAAACATCATTTTCAACCTCGTTTAAGCTGATCAAAGAAAGTATACATATTAATAATATTGTTATGGAAGGGTTGGATGCGTAGTGGTGAGAGATCCTGTGCAGTATCACACGTATGGTAAGCACGACACCGTTTCAGGTAAACTAAGCGTTGCATATATTCGGGATCAGTAAATTGTTATCAGAACTCTCTGGCGAAATCATCTTCCGATTCATAAAGCGACTGCCTACGGTAAAACTTTGGTGGCAACATGCCCAAAAAGTTATTAGAATGACAAGCTCCCACTGACTCTACCTTACACGCGAAAGAGACAAGTGGAAAATTTGTTGGCGTCTGCATCGATCAACAGGATGTCGGATGGAACGGATGACAGCATTACTGTTTAGGTTTCCGAAAATTCCTCATACATCATATGATCTTAGTTACCTATTTAATGTATTCATATTTTCTTGTCTGCAAAGAAGTGGGAGCTTCCGGCGCAGTGGTCGGAGGCGCCCTGCAATACACACATGGAATCGGTTACCGAGCCCATGGCCCACCAAGCCTTCCATCCCTCTGGGATCAGTAAATTGGTACCAGACTTTCTAGGAGGATAGCAGCATTGGTCGATACATCGGTAGGCCACCGCGAGTTATTCTAAGGGCCAGATATGCATTCACTCACTTGCAAACGATGCTTGATGAAGTAGAATGCATGGCGCATTCCTCAAGAATTGATCAACGCCGGGAACTTTATCCACTTAGGTTTTTACCATTTAATCAAGCCAGACGCCTCTTCCGGATCAGAAAATGTTGCCAGACTTCCCTTGGGTTATAAAAACATGACTTGTTGTATCGGTGGTTTATCGCAGATCTACAGATTCTCAGATCTATCGCAGATTCTACAAGCTAAATATGAATTCAAACACCTCCATGACACTTGATGAAGTTGAGTGCATAACCCATCAGTAAAAGGATAAACACAAAAAATTCGGCGTGTTGGAAGATATTAAAATACTCTAGTGCAATACGAAGTGGTGATATTGCATTTTAATATTCTACAACGTAATTAAAACGAATAAAAAATCGGATGCAATTAAATAGAATGCAAGAAATGTTGGTCTATCCTAGAGGAATGCGCCTTGCATTCGACTTCATTAAGCATCGTTGGAGATGATTGAATGCATATCTGGCTTTTACAATGTGGTCTACGGATGTATCGAGCTAGTGCTGCTATCCCCCAGATAAGTCTGGTACCAACTGGGCGACCCCCGGGGTGCAGGGGTCGATCTCATGTGTACTGTGGTGCACGACCGATCACTGCGCTTCACGAGCCCCAATGATGTAAATGAAATAAAATAGCAGTAACTGAAACCGAAATTGGACTGTTAATACCACATAATAGATTCTATAGGTTTATCTAAAGACAAATTCCGATAAACCCACGGAGCATAGTCGATTTGGGAGCCATCTTCTCGTGAATTTCTGGAATGTTGTTGCCTGGAGGACATACTACGTACCATAGTCGCTAAAAATATTCGATAAAGGCTTCTGTTCCAGGGTACCGGTAAATTTTTCTACACTACTAATTAAAATTGGACATATACGACATACATATTCGCCTAACAAATTCGCCAAGCGTTTCTTGCGGTTCTGGTTCGCGAGCCCACTCCTAAAGATTATTTTCATTGTTTTAATCACTTAAGTAGTAGAAAAGTTACTACTATGATTTTAACCGTAAAATCGTGAAGGTGATTCCTTCTACCTGTACTTCTCCTTCTGCGCACAGTAGGAAGAACAGCGTGCCAAAAATATCTACGGTCATCGCAAGTAGGAAGCAGTACTTCCACCCTTCAGGATTCTGAAGTGGAAATTCTTTAGGAAACTTCCATAATATTCCCAAAAAAACTAACTCGTTAAAAATTGGGAACTTCACACCTATCTATCCCTTCTTTATATTTTTTACCTTCCATTGCAGCAAATCTCCCATAGTTTATTTCTAACGAACACAGCCGTTAATTTAAAGTGGATTTTCAAGTACAACATTTCGTTTGCTTCATCTCACCAGCCAAACAAACATCACCTTCTTCGAATTTTCTGGAAAATTTCTCGTGTCCATCTTCTATCTAGTGGAGGTTAGGAAATCTGTACAACGACAGCAAATCCGATTACGCCCCTATAGTAAATGATCAGCGTTTTTGCTTTCATCTAGAAAGTGTTTCTCAACTGATGGCCACCCTCACAGTTTATTTATTAGACTGACTACCAAATTCCATGTTGATTAAATCTCAGAAAAATAGCACAAAAACCTTAATTTTCTTTCAGTTAAGCCTTTCAGAAAGATGGAAGAACTGGGCTTTAAGGTAAAAAAAAGTACCAATCAAATTGAGAACCAGGTCAAATGACTTGAAAAGCAGTTATCTCTTGAAATCTTTTCATCACTACTATTAACTCCTTCATATGATGTTTAATACTACTAGTTTTGAGCACTTGATAAAATCGATCATATGCTTTCATTTTGGAGGGAGGGGTCTCTTCATCGTAGGCAAATAGGCCGATGAGAAATGCTATCGGGTCACGTGACAAATTCTGACTGTAAAGAAGGTACAAAAGTAGATCGCCAACATTCTAATACTACATTTATTTTTAGTCACCGCTTCCTTCTAGATAACCTGATACATTCGCTCCATAGTCACCACTACATTTACCGTCGCTAGATTTTATGGATCGGAAGGAGCTTCTTCACCTTACGATTCGATTTCTTCCGAGATGACGACGAATCTAGTGCTAATATACTGTGCCGAATTCTTCTTCAGAATGAGAAAAAATCGAACCCCTGCTTCGAATAGCAGTTTGTCTCCCAGGAACATTTCTTTCCAACAATTAATTATCTTCATTAGTAGATTCTGTCTGAATTTTGAGTGCGCACGGCGCAGTGGTCGCAGGTACCCTGCAGCAATCACGTGGAATCGTTCTTCGCACCCATGGCCCACAAAGCCTATCATCGTTCCGGGGTCTGAAAATTGGTACCAGGCTTGTCTGGGAGGATAGCGGTACTGGCTCGATACATCGGTAGGCCACCGCGAGTCATTGTAAAGGCCAGATTTTGCATTCAGTCATCTCCACACGATGCTTAATGAAGTCGAATGCATGGCGCATCCCTCAAGGATTGATCGACTCTGAAAGCTTTATCCTCTATCCTTTTTATCTCCATTCCAAACACGGCAACAACGCTTCCACGCATCCTGTAAAAACTGTTGCATGAATCACAATGTCTTAACATTTATTCGCTCCCTATTCTTTTTTATGGCAGGCCACGATGTGGATTACAACCCCAAGGATGCTAAGATACAAGCAAAACTCGGAACCTTAAAAGCCATTACGATTTCTAATAAAGTTTCAGCTTACTTTATTTTATTTTATTGTATTTGACCCGTCTTCACGTATACGGTGACGATTCCAGCACTTCTCACATTGGATTCGTTTCCTTGCATCCATTATCTACGAAAATCTTTCAACATTTCTTCACTTGTGGCTTCGGCTGGTGCTTGAGGATTTCCATTTCATCTTGGATGTTGTAGAGTGCTGGTCGAGTCGATTCTCTCTGAAGTTCTGGAATAGGCGGGCTGGAGCGTTCCCAAATGGATTGCAGAGAGTGATTTTTTTCCCGGACATGTCCGGTATTAAATTCTCGACCTTGGAGGAATGAGAAGCTTGGTTGGCCCGCAGCGCAATCGAGCTGGTATCATGCTCGTGATGACCGACATCAACCGACAAGCTTAACTGGATTCAATACCAATTTTTGATCTCCACACAATTAATGTTGACGGGTGATTGCTAATACTACTGAAGGAGTAAAAAAGTGGCGGAGAGAAAAGAAAAGCAAGAGCCTCAGTTTGTGTGCTAGATACAGAGCACGTAAGCAGCCGGTAAGGGTAATTGCGGGTTCAAAGCTCACGTGGAGTCCAAAGTTTACCTCACATCCATCAGGCCGTGTGTTTATTCTATGTATCATTTTGATTAAGCTGAAGATGAAGTTAAGTGAGTAACTACTGGTCACGCATATCTTTTTATGGCTTTTTTGCATGCAAGATTCGTCCATTAGATTCTTATGCGTTTGAAGAAAGCAAATAAACATCAGAGATCATTGTCATGGATTTTCATGTAGAAGTTCGAAAAGTTTCACAGCCCCTTCTTCCAGATAATGTTGCAGTTCCGTTGCTCATTGGACACCGTGCAACCCTTCCTTACCAATTTTCGTCGAATTGCACGACATATTACGTCCGCCTGCAGATCTTTAACGTTTCGACTTATGTGGATATTTGTGTCCGAGTAAAAAAAGGAGCCTTCGTAACCAGCAATTCATGGATAGAAATTCTGCATTCATAAAATAGGTATAAACGCTAGAAGCGGCATGATTTTTACTGTCTCTAAGCAAAAGGTGGAATGTCAAGCTAGAAAGAACGTAGACTAAACCGACTACTCACCTTGCCTTCAGTTCTCATTAGGCACAGCAACTGTTACAACAAGACAAGGATAAATCGCTTGACGTTAGTTAATTTCTTACGGACGTAGTTATCTCCTTCACTAACCATCGTTAGAGGTGACTGAATGCACATCTGGTCTTTCCAGTGACTACCCGGCGCCGATTTATTTATCAAGTTGGTTTTCTATCCCTCCATACAAGTCTGACACTAATTTCCCGATCCCAGAAGCATAGACACTCTGGTTTTTCCGGTGTGCGGGGTCGAACCATAGTACCTTTTGGAGAACTCCTCTAACCACTGTCCTACAACATCACACTAACAGATATGGAATGGATACAGATAGAAACCTACATTCAACGTCAAGTGTTGTGTAATGAATCCACCTATACCGGCCAGTGCACCGAATCCGTTCGTGAAACCCATCAAAATGGGCGCATAACGCGGAGCGATGTCGAAATGGTTCACGTTAAAGCCTAGAAAACGATTCATCTAAAATAATTGTGGTAGAACCATGGCGATCTACAACTGGAAACTGTACACTTCACTTCAGCAAATCTGAATATTAGACCATTCAAGGCCATGTGAACCACACCTATTGTGCATAGGTTACAAACAGCAGTGAGTATCACGTGAGACAATATACGCCACATGTGGCTCGAACTGCTTTCATTTCTTTCAAGATTATGAATTCAGAGCCTTATTATACGTTAAAACAAAATACACATTAAAACTGACTTCCAGTGGGAAAAGTGTTGTTTTAATCTTTAACAAATACTGAGACGTACGTAAAAAATGAGTCGTATATGGGTCATATGGCGCACAAGACAAAATCGGCCTTGTTGACAATTTTGCCTTTTCCTTTATCCACCTTTTTCCATCTTTTTCAAGAAAAATCAGCGATGATAATTGTACATATTGGCAGAAGATGGGCATGGGCAGAGATATTCAGTGGCTAATAAGCCACATGATACCAGTAGAAATTTCCACAACAGACTTATGGAAGTTGGGGGTCAAATAAAAGAAAAATCGTAAATAAATATAACCTGACCGACAATATTCATTCCACTAAATGTGACGGCACTGACCAGACAAGCTACAGCAATGCCCGGTTCTTTGACAAATCCCAACATCGCCATAAAGAACGCCTCTCCACTAAATCCTAAAAACAACGAATTATATTTGTTCTAGTTTTAATATAATACTATAAGTGTCCGACATGATTACTTAAAGTAAAAAAGACAATAAGTAGTCCTTAATCAATCCCGCTGACAGATGATTGCTGATGCCAATGATCGATGAAAAAAACCTACTTAGAGACAGGCGAAACGAAGGACCCCCATGGTGTGATGGTGAACACGTTCGCCCTTGGAAGAGTAATAGCGCGTTCGTTCCCCACCGCAGACACCTGCGGTCCGGTGTTTTGCAAATATCTCAGCATCATTTAAAAAAAGAGTGTTCCCCATTTTTAGAATCTGCAAAGGTTTTGAAGCTAATGATTTCCAACAACAGCTTGGTTGATAGAGCTTTTCCTATATGACTACTGAGGTGCTTCGAGTAGTAATTGTTTTTGAAGGTGTAATGAGAGCATTCGTCGTAAATCTGGTCTATTTTTCATGCTATTACACGTTTCAAATATTGAATACGTACTTGTCATAATCAAATTTACTCGTCACATGTAATCTATAATATTTTAAAAGATTTGACACTAGAGCAGGGCGTTTGCCCTGAATCTCCACCTATTCATAACCACCGGGAAGATAGTATCGCCTTATAGCTAGACACTGCGACCTTCTCCGCGCCGTTTAAGCTCTAGTAGCACCATGCTATTCGCTTGGATACTGTTCGTACCGTCTACATCACCTTTCTTTATCTCATGAAAAACACTATTGCTGAGCTATCTGTTCATATGAACTTTATTTGTATTTATATTCCATACCTCACAACTCTAACATATAAGCCACTACGTTATTGTTAATGCAAATCCTCATGTATATTATTTCTGCCTACTGAACCACCTCACCATGTATCTACTGTGCAGACTTCCGAAAGTCACTGTGTGGTTGTTATGCTACTGCTATCACCTGTATCACCTGTAGTCCCGTTGATCGTCGACTAACTCGAGTGGGCGCCAGTAAATCTTCCATTTTTCCCTGTCGCGTACAACAGTAGCCCGGTGGGTATCTGCTCGCTCTAGGAAGTCGCCGAGCATCATATCTTTCTTCAAGGGTTTTCGTGAAGCAACTTTGACCATCGGATCTGTTGTCTTCCCGCAGTGCGTTTCACATCTCGAGGAATCTACTCGCTAACTCCACTCAGAGGTACACCAACGGCTCTTGTTCATCGGTTGTCATTCATACGCATTACGTGTCCGGCCCACCTTATCTTCGACTGTTTGGCGTACAGAATGGCATCTTCGATTTTTTATCGTTGACGCAGATCGGAGCATCGGATCCCAACCATTACTTGTGTGGAACGAGTTACTCCTAGCATCGTCCTTTCGACAGCGCGTTCAATAACGCTGAATGACCTTTCATCCTGCTCAAGCAGCGACCAGGTTTCTGACGCATGTGTTAAGATGGAACTACCATTGAGTCGAAAAGATAAGCATAGAGTTGCGTGTTCTTCGTTTTCTTCATTACATCTTCTATCCTCTTGAGAGCTCCCCAAGCCGCTCATTTCCTTCCGCTCAACTCTGGAGCTAAGTAGTCCAACATATTGATTTCCCGACCTAGTTAGACATAGCTGGAGCATTCGGGGATATTCGTTCCGTTGAGCGTGAATGGTGCATACGAAATCAATCCACTCCTCATAAACATCGTTTTTGTGAGATTTAGTAGAAGATCCACAGGCTTTACCAAAGTAGGCCAGCTTGGCTAATGTTTCGTGTTATAAGGACGATGTCATCAGCAGAGCTAAGATGGTTTAATTGCCAATCATCGATTTTCACTGACATATTATCCTATTTCAATGTTCTCATGACGTTCTCGAAGTTGGCGGTAAATAATTTTGGCAAGGTGGTATTGCCTTGCCCCACCCTTCTTCTGATATCGATGTTAACAACGTTGTAAAATGGTGATACCTTGGTTGTGAAATTTCTGTACAGCTCACGAAGAATCTTTATGTACTGTGCTACTCGTGTATATACATACACGTATATAAAAGGTTTAATTACCTAACTTTGAGAGATCTAGCGCGGTGACGAGTCAAAAAAACCTGCGTGGCAAGAAGATCACATTTCACCGGAACACTCACTACACTGCTGTGCTTGCAATATCAAGTCGCATCTCTCTGTGCAACACTACTGGCCGACTAATTAGTAACGATGCCGTAGCATCTTGATCATAGCATTTTTACAGCTTCTAATTTCCACTTCCACAGATCTGATAGACATCCGTGCTGTAATGACCATGTGAGCAGCGAAGAAGAATTCTAGCTCCTATGCGTAAGCAAAAAAACACCACAACCTTCTATTGAAACAACTTTTGATTCGAAGGCTGCTTGGATGCAATCAGATCTTGTGTAGAACATCGTCTTGTATTATACGGAATCTATTTTTCATAGCTGTTCCGGAAATGGATCGTTTTGCCACTTTTTTACTTTTTTCATTACAATTTTCTTAAAATATTCCTAGTTCTCCAAGGCATTGAGCCGTTGCAGACAAGTCCTCAAACGTCTTTAAATAGTCATTTTCTTTCACGGTAGTTCATTTTCGACTGTCCTCATCATCAACATTCCATATTCATCGAGAATCTTTTGAGAGTGCGTTATTTTGCACGATGGTTAGAGATTCGCTGGCCAAAGGTAACAGCAATATTTGGTGCAAAGAGGTCGTCGTGGAGTACTACAGATTCAGCTTCAAATCCAAAAGTGCTTTCGTGGAACTTTAGCGGCTTAAATTTTTAACACAATGGGTTGGAAACAAAAACATTTGCATAAAAACAGATCGAACTGCGAGCATCAAAGAAAAACTTACGAACAAAAACAGAGTCTCAAAACTTCACCCAAAGACAAGACGTTAAATTTACCAAGAACAAAACAACATTTATTTCCGAAGTAACTTAAAGTGTAGTTCGTTTTCCTTCTAAGAATGGCGAATCGATCCTCCCTTCAACTCATACCCCTTATAAAAAAGGATAAAGCTCTCGACGCTGATCAATCCATGAGAGGTGCGCCAAGCATCTATTCAGCCCTTCATTTATCATCGTTATAGATGATCATACTACATATCTGGCTTATACAAATAACCGATTTGTCGAGTAGTGCCGATATCTTCTCAAACGGACCCGGTACTAACTTGCAGACACTGGAGGGTGGAAGGTTTGGCGAGCCTGGAAGCGAGATCGAACCAGTGTATATTGAAGGGCGCCTCTAACTAGTGCGCTACACAAACCCATCTTGTCTTCACCTTATACGACGTGAAACCCTGATTAATGCATGCCTAAACTTACTTTGACACTTAGATGGCCCGTCCTCACTGGTTGTACTGGCCTCAGCATATTCTCCGTTTTTAAGAGTTTAGCTGATTTACCCATTGTCATGAAAATTATAGAAGGCAGAAAACAAAAACGTTAAACATTGTGATTTCAACTACAGCCATAGCTTAACTGGGTTCTATGCCGATTTGCGCTCCCCAGATCAACCCCGCTGACGGGTGATTGCTGTGGCAAAAAGATCGATAGAAATAGCTGAGAGACGTGCGAAACAAAGGACCCGCATGGTGTGGTGGTGAACGCGTTACTCCCCGGAAAGGATAATAGCGCGTTCGTTCCCCACCATAGACACCTGCGGTCCAGAGTTTTGCAAATATCTCAGCAACGTTGTGGTTTTACCCATTGTGTTTGCCTGGAGCGCCGAGGTCAACCTGGCCAAAGTCTGCCCCATGTCGTCACCACCATGGGGAGTTGCCGCCCTTGTGGATGAGAGAGAGGTTTGCCACCATGCGACGAGTTTAATACTAGAACGGTGGTGGATCACGGTACTGGTTTACTCTTAGTTGGGCTTCCTGACGGAAACGCCGTACTCCTTCACAGCATGGGAGACCCTGCCGGCGAGGTGAATCCCTTCGCTGTACATCGCTGGCCGACACCAAGGAGCACGTCCCAGCCACGACGAGACGGTAAACCTTTAGAAGAATAACTTGAATAATGCTGAGGTATTTGCAAAACTCCGGACGGCAGGTGTTTGCGTTGGGGAACGAACGCGTTATTGTCCTTTTTGGGGATTAGCGCGTTCACCACCACACCATGCGGGTCCTTCGTTTCGGCTGTCGCTCAGTTAGTTCCATCGATCTTTGCCACAGCAATCACCCGTCAGCGGGATTGATCCGGGGGGCCCAAATCGGCAACGAACCCAGTTAAGCTGAGGCCGCAGTTATAATCACAATTTTAACTTATTATTTACTGCTTACCCTTTTTAGCGGTAAGGTATCTATTGCGAAATATAACTTGAATGGCCCCCAGATCAATCCTGCTGACAGATGACTGCTGTGGCAAAGATCGATGGAACTAACTGAGCGACAGCCGAAACGAAGGACCCGCATGGTGTGGTGGTGAACGCGCTACTCCCCGAAAACGACAATAGCGCGTTCGTTCCCCACAGCAGACACCTGCGGTCCGGAGTTTTGCCATTATCTCAGTATCATTCATGTTATATTTCGCAATATATACCCTGCCATTAAAAAGAATAGGCAGTAAATAATAAATTAAAATTGGGATTATAACCTTGGAAGAATACTTTCCTATCTCGACAAAATGTGAAAATCGTCTTTATGTTTCACATACAATCCATACTATAGTTTATTTTACCTCTACGAAAGGTGAAAAACCTATCCCACAACATTTTCTCTTAAACGACGTTGAATCCAGTCGCTTCTTATTACAGCACGGATATAAAAATCGCCCTTATTTCAAGTGAATAACGAAATTGTTTCTCACCAAGTGTGTTAAACAACTTCCGAACGGCGCCTGTGCTCATTTTACCGGTCGATCTAAGCCAGTCAGCTACTTGTCCCGATATCAAAACAACAATAGCCATCATCAATTGCGGAAGAGCCGATATCATACCGCTCTAAAGTATTGACGTGTTTTCCTCTCCGAACAATATTGTCATTTGGTCATACGAAACACTATGGAGGAAAGAAGGCATTGCATAGGTATTGATTTTTGCAGCTGATCGATCGATGCGTATTAAGCTGCATTTTCAATTTTAGGCGTTAAATGGCAAAAAGCTTTCGAAAATGAGGGTGGAGTGGTGAAAAAATGTATGTGAAAAAAATGGGAAGGGAAGGGAAAAGCATAGAAAGGGCCTTGGCCGTGTAGTGGATAACACGTGAACCCCCGGAAAGGGTTATCGCAGGTTCGAGGCACAACTGAGGTTCCGAGTTTTGTTCATATCTAAGCATCGTTGTCGCTGTATTCCACATAACATCTTTCCATCAAAAAGGAATAGGCAGTAAATAGAAGCTAAAATGCATGTGTCAAATTATAAATATTTTATGTTCTTAATGGAAAGAACTTTTCTGCTAGTATTAACTTGGTGTTTCCACCTGCATTTGCCGATAATCGTCGTTACGGTTTGAAACACAAAACTTCAGAAAGCTGTGCTACCATATTTTCCTTGTTTTCTTTCCATTTTACATGACCTGTCACCACATCTATCGCGCGGGTCCCAGCACTTCTTGCATTCGATTCGTTTCCTCGTATCCATCATCCACAATAGTCTTTGAACATTTTGCGTGTTGTTTCAGTTACTGCTTAAGGGTTTCCTCTTATGAGTGTCGTAGAATGCTCGTCTAGTCAATTATCCTTGCAATCTTGGAGATAAGTGGCGGATGCCACGGTGGTAGTAATGTCCTTCATCACGACCATGGTGCTAGCTCGACTCTGCTCCGGGTCAACCAAGCCTCCATCTCTCCAGAGTCAGGAGATTGTTATCGGACTTGTCTGTCAAAATTCACTCTCTGCAATCCAATTGGGAACGCTCCAGGCCGGCTATCTCAGGACTCCAGGGAGAGTCGACTCGTCCAGTATTCTACGACATTCACGATGAAATGAAAAATCCTCAAGTAGCAGTTGAAGCCACACGTAAAGTTGCAAAATCTTCGTAGACAATGGATGCGAGGAAACAAATCGAATGTGAAAAGTGCTGGGATACGCACAGTAGATGTGAGAACGGATCAAATGAAATAAAATAAAAAAGTCTTGGAGATACCCGGGTTAAGGCGTTCTCACATGGATGGGGGAGAGCACGAACCTTTGCTTTTTGATCGGCGCATCGCTAACCACTACGCTTTCCCGGCGCCCTGTGCTGTTAAAAAGTTTTCTTAAAACCAATCGCTATCCCTTTTTTGAAATAACCCACCGTTCTATACCATCAGTTATGAAGTCGTATGACTCCATATTAGAGATTCCTACCATAGACAGAGGTGTATCTTCCAATTTTCGGCTAGTTAATAGTTTTTAATTACATCAAACCTCAGTACCCAAAAGTTTCTGTTTTGTCACACATTTATAAATACTTCTATGAAAAAAGGGAAGAATTCCCAAAAAAAAGCCTCCAACCTACTCTGTCGGAGACTTGTCAATGCGTAGATGTATGGAAAATGAACACTTACATGTCGGATGTCAAGATGTAGTACATCTCTCATGTAAGTGAGTTGATTACTTAGTAACAAGAAGAACGTCCACGACCGGCAAAAATTGGAAATGGTAATCGCCCAAACCGGTAACGAGAACAGAATGGATTTCCAAGGTATCGTCGTCAACTGCAAAAAGAACTTTATATGGAAGCTTTTGTAGTAGTTAATGTCAGGCCCTGAAGGCGAATTGATAAATGAAGTGTCCGCCTACAAACAGATAAAGTAACTGCGAATCGACAGATAAAGTTTCGATATTCAAAGAGATTCTTTGTTTCGGATACAGAATAGCGGTAATCAACTGTCAAGAGAAAAATCACGCTAAGCCAAGAGCAATTAGGTTCTAATTTAAGGATTTCCAGAGTACCATAATTTCTAGCGAATTTCTCAGTTTTTGTTGAAGGTCTGTAAATGTCTCTTCTGCATGACTTAATTAAAATATCTTGATTCAGTAATTCTTGAAAGAAAATCTTCAAAAGTTAACGTTCTGGAAGAGTTTTCAAACACGCCGTCGATGGCAATGTGATATGAAGAAAACAAGCAAACAACCAAACAAACACACACATACACACACTACACATGCACGACACATACAGACAAACAGAGACACACAGATACACACACATACACACACACACACACACGCACACACACAAACTCACAGACAAACACACACACACACATACACACACGCAGGAAAATTTCACGAAGAAGCAAATTATTTTAAGTAAAAAGAAAACATCCAGATCGCTGGTAGGTTTTAAAAATGTTCTCAGACTAAAACAAAAAAGGAGTCGCAAGACAAACAAGATATCACTGACGGTCATGTTCCCGCTTGCTACGGTGCCGACTTTTTCAGTAATGTATGTGCGCTCTTCGTCGGTGATGTAACGATGATCGCTAGGTGACGATGACGACACACACCACCAACTCATCGCCCATAGAAGTCCAGATACGCCTGAAACTTTCAGTTCTTTCGTGATCGATTTGGCTCGATATCAGCAACCAAGAAGGACACATACACACACTATACATATTATAAAACACACATGTTGTATAAGTCGCTTCTGAAACCTGCTCGAACTCGCTGTTATCGCTCCATTATTTTATTTCAGTTACCTTTCACGATTTATGGGTCTTTCACATCCAGAGGATTATGATAACCAAGGGTCATGTAGCTTAGCCATATCAAGGATATCGTATAACTGAGCAGGGATATAACTAGTAGCATAGCAGTTGCTCTGACAGGCACATAGATTTAAAAGATAGATAGATGGCCTGTTTCTGTATTACCGAACTTAAATGTACTTCTATTCTATCTTCTACCAGATCATATTTTTATAATAACCTTGCATTGGTTTAACAACCCAAGAAAGCATGCGATACCGACTGCTAAATGATGCATTGTCATAAGAAAAAAAAATAGATGGTATTAGATGACGGCAACAGATCAATATCCGTCATATATAGAAGGCACCGTCGACTGAAGTTCTTTAACTAAACGGTGCTCTACTTCATTGCATTCGACTTGATGCCACAATGAACAACCATATCGCATGATTCCACAATGAACAACCATATCGCATGGACGTCCACCCTCGGATCATCGTTGAGGACCAATCCGGCTCTGAAGAAGACGAAGACGTTGGAACGTCAGCTGAATAAATTTTCTTTACCGGCCCCATATTAGCTTAACGACCAAAGAAGACTTTGGTTATTTTTACCGAACTCTAGTGAAAGTCGGTTTTAAGACAGTTCAAGAAAGCATCTACTAGTTATGCTGTGGTGCAATGACGGTCGGTTTTAACAAACTATTGCTTAGCTGTGTGCTATCTAACGTACCGACTGCTTCAGGAAACACTACCGCTGAAAAAAGAAGATTACACCAGATGAAAGCAGATCAACAACCGCTCTGCATAAAGGAGCTCTACCTAGTGATGAAACTTCATTAAAACGATGCTGCACTGAAGAAGATTCGACTCGTTGCGACTAAGAAGACCCATATGGCAAAAAAGAAATGCTGTGGACACCCGACTCAATTTATCACGGTTCTGAAGAAGATGAGGACACCAAAACGCCAACTTATGAGGATTTCAAAATAGAGAGGCCTATCGTATCACGCACGGGATATGAAATCTAATCTCCCGACATAAATCGAAATTGAAGGAGGAAATTCTGCTAAGCCCCACAGACACCAAAAAACCTGTGGATCGAAAACATGTTGCCTTTGAACCGTTATACAAGGGTCGTTTGTAACCGGGTCCAGAGTGGTAATTCGTGTTCTGCAGGTAAGCCAATAATCAGAACCATATTAGACTTCCTAATGAAGACTCTAGAAAAAAAAATGATGCTCGTACTTTTCGTTCCTGGAACCTAACGTGTTATCCACTTCACCAACCGAGGCTATTGTTATGTCTTTTTCTCAGCCAGTTTTTTACTTTACTGGTACTTTTAGCAATCAGCCATCAACGGAAATAACCTAGGAAGCACTAATCGACATTGAATCAAGTTAAGCCTAAGCGGCAGTCAAAATCACAGTGTTTTACTTTTATTTACTGCCTGCCTTCTTTCATGACAAAGCATTATGTGAAACACAACCACTAAGATGCTGAGATATGAGCAAAACGCGGAATATCAAGTACGCTTTGAGCCCGCAACTATCTGGTCAGCTTCAGCATAACTACGTCCAGCCGATTCGCGCTCTCCAGATCATTCCTGTTGATGGCTGATTGCTGGTCGTAACGCTAGGATAAAAAACTGGGCTAGAGAAGGACAAAGCAAGGGATTCAGTTGAGACAATTGATAACAGATGAGAGGCTGAAAAAGGTAATTTCAGGTTCGAAGCGCACCTAAGGGCCCGAGTTTTGCTCGTGTGCCAGCATCATTGTGGTTAGATATCATATAATATAAAGCATAAGCTATAACTCCGCTATAGCTCTGCTATAAAAAAAGCATAAGTAGTATATAAAAGTTAAAGCAATGCTACTCATATTTGTTTGTTTGACGAGTGATTGCTTATAGCACTGGCAGATAGAAAAACAGCCGAGAGAAAGGCAAACACATGTGTGGTGGTGAACACGTTAGCCCCGGAAAGGGTAATAGCGCGTTTGCTCTCCATCGTAGACACCTCCGGTTCGGAGTTTTGCAAATCTCTCAGCACCATTATTGTTGTATTCCACATAATATCGTTCCGTGAGAAATTGTCGTGGGCATAAAATAGAAAGTTAACATTGCTTTTCATTTTCTTCCATGTGGAAGAATTGAATGTGCCATTTTGTGGTGTCATAGGGGCGACTAGAAACATTAATGCGATCTGCTTAAGTTGATCACCTTTGATTAATGACAAGATTATAGGTGATGTTTGGTTGCCAAGTAGCGTTCTATGTCGCAGTTCCTTTTTTTTTACAATGTCTATGCGAGCGCTTAACGCTATCGCAAAAATAATAAAAGATTATAAATAATCATCAAGATTTTTTCAAGCTCACCATAGACATAGAACGGTGCTGACCATGAGAAGTAGCTGACAGTGGCTGCTGACACCGGTAAAGCGACCATCAGGCCTACATAACTTCCAGTGAACGTGGTTGTGGCGAGTTTCGATCGCTCAAGTGGTGGCGCCCAGTGGCGCCAGACACCATGCATTGCTGGATAGGTGACACCCTGAAGTTTCCGCGATTTCTCTCATGTTCCAAAACTCAAAGAAAACTTCCTAACGGCTGAATAGTCTAGTTTTTCAACAAAGGTAAGCCACTTCACCATTACTGTTTCAAGGAGTACACCAACGAGCATTCGAACGAAGAAGTTTAACACTTCCACCATAATAGATCGCATATTAACAACTTTCTCTCTCTTTAATCAAAATTTTTAGGTACTGCTGAGTGAAAATGTCGCGCAATCGCCAATTTGAGATCCGAAACTTGTCTAGGTAGCCAAACGGAAATGAGGTCGTAAATGTGCTAAGGTACTTGCAAAACTCCGGACCACAGGCGTCTACGGTGGGGAACGAGCACGATATTAGCCTTTCCAGAGGCCAACACGCTCACCATCACACCATGCGGGTCATTCTTTTCGCCTGTCTCTCAGCTAGTTCTATCAATCAGTGCCATCAGCAATTACCCGTCAACGGGATTGATCTGGGAAGCACGAATCCTCATTGGATTCAGTCAAGCTGAGGCTGTAGTCGAGATCACGATTTCAACTTTTTTTATTTACCGCATGTTACATTTTTCACGACAGGTTATGATGTGTGGTACAATTACAACGATGCTGAGATATTCGCAAAACTCTGGACCGCAGGTGTCTGCGGTTGGGAACGAACGAGGTGTTAGCCTTTCTAGGGACTAACACGTTCACCATCACACCATGCGGGTCCTTCGTTTCGCCTGTCCCTCAGCTAGTTCTATCGTTCGGTGTCATCAGCAATCACCCGTCAACGAAATCGATCTGGAGAGCCCAAATTGTTCGATCCCATATTTTGAAAATAAGGAGGCAAATGGAATAAAGTAGGGAACGTCCGCTGACCAGCGCCATTCCCTGGATGACCTGCATTACTATCACCATCATGTCAGTGAACGGATGATATTGAAAAGCAAATGCAACGATGATGTTCAGCAAGCTGGCCGTCCCCACACCAAAGCAAAACAGTCTGAAATTCGTACACAGCGAAGGTTTACAGTTTGTCATTTCGTGAAAGCTTCTAATTAGAAAGAGAAAAGTAGAAAACCTTTGTGACAAATGGCTCATCGCAGGGAGACATATCTTTAGAAAATCTCCTTCTATATGATTTTTCCTACATGTTAAAATAATACTATGTGAAACAAATAATTCGGCCGACATTTTTAAATTTAGATGAGAACCATGTGTTTTGTTCAGTTGGAAGCATGATTGAAAGGTGTGGAATTGCGGTCAAAGACCGAAATGTAAGAAAAATAATGCGCAGCACACACCAGCTCCCAAGTGTCACCGAATGTGTGATAGTGTAATCGATTATCAAGGTGGTAATCGAAGGTATAAAAAAAGCTTTCGGCGTTGATTAATCCCTGAGGGATGCGCCCTGCATTCGACTTCGCTAAGCATCGTTTGGAGGAAATTGAATGCATATCTGGCCTTTACAATGACTCGCGGAGGTCTACCGATGTATCGAGCCAGTGCAGCTATCCTTCCAGACAAGTCTGGTACCAGTTTGCCTACCTCGGAAGGATGGATGGCTTTGAGCCTGGGACGGGCGGATCGATCCCACGTGTATTGTTCGGCACCAGACCACTGCTCCCCACTCACCCATATCGAGGGTATTAACAGCAACTAAGGCTTTTCTATAGTTAATGGAACAAACAAAACCACTGACCCAATTTGCCCATTCGTCGCTTTACATAATCGCGATTTTTGTGGAATAGCAATTAGTGAACCATATGATCCATCACAACCTGTGATGGACAACTCCTACACAAAGTTTAATGATATTAGATTAATGTAACTGAAGAAATTTCTGTCACGTTTCTGCGATAAGTCTAACATTCCCTTCCACATTAACGCTTCGTATAGGAAAAGGACGATATAGAAAAACAGGAGAGTCTGGGAACGAAAAACCGGTGTGCTTTATACTTAATTCTATGCACTTTTCCCACGGTATGCTTCATTGACTGGAAACCGTTTTAACTACTGGAATTTATTAGAGAAAATAAGTTTCGTATTAGAACAGGGTTTCTGATTTTTTGTGAAAGTAAGGTTTAGACCGAACTTGTTTGGAGCGAATTTCGCGGCTAGAATTCCAGCCGGAATCTGCGAGATGGCATAACCGTAGAAGAATGAGCTCTCCAACATTCCCAGCTCCGTTGCCGACCAAAAAAACTGTGGTTCCTGAAATAACACAAATAACAGGTTAAGAAACTGTACTTCCTGAAATAAAGCAAATAGCAGGTTAAGAATCGCCCTCGCTCAACGGAGTTTTGCCTTTTTTTGCGATGAACTTTTGTCTGAATCCTTCCACCTTCTTCTCGCTTCCTGCTCTAGTTGTTTATTAATATCTCACACATAGTTTTTCTATTAACTAGGTCTTGCCCTAGTTTGAAGGTCAACTCACTATTTTTCGCATTTTTCATTTAGTGAAATGGTAGAGCTTCCAGAAATGCTTCATGATTTCTACCCTCTTTCACGATACTTGAAAAAAAAAACAATTCTGTATTTAGAGTAACCTTACTGTACTGCGAATAACCACATTAACCTTTCCCACCGTTTTTTCTTCTATTCTTAAACCTTCCGACTTCCTTTCAAGTTTAGAACTGACCCGTTCCCACCATCTCCTTCACAGTCTTCTTCTAAGTGGGATGAAAAATACTAGCGATAAATCTATACGCGAAATCATGATGAGATCTACGATTAGAAGCCGTTATCACTGATTTGATGATGATATTAGACAAAACCCGAATTGTAGTCGATGCGACCCGTTCTCCATTGTTATGTGTGCCGTCCCCCGACACCATCACCATCACAGCGCCCCAACCCTTTCCTTCTGTTCATACAGCCTCCATTTGGTGGATTTGCGCCAGGCATGTGTTTGAACAGAGACAGTGATAGAGGAAACTTGATTGCAAAACGACAACGAAAAACTTCTAAATCTTCCTATATCTCTTTCTCAGTATTCAAAGAAATGAAAACTTGTGATTAGACTTTTTGTGGTAAACTTCCTTTCCAATGGTCTCCTATTTCACTGTGTATGGCAGATGTCCTTGGGTGTCGGTGTCGAACAGCGATATGCACGATGAATTCAACCCTAACAAGAGTAACTAAAATTGCTAAAGAATTCGGTAATTTATGTACTGTACTAAAGACTAAAAAATCCGTGGTGTCTCTTGAACCTAATGTTACTGAGCAGCTTTGTCATATGACAGGAACAAATGGAAATCTTACTAGTTGACAACTCGAGTAATTCAATCACCAAAAGGATTAAAGAAGATATAGGTGAAATTGTGCAGAAGAGGGGACGGCATGCAGACTGACCAGAGGTACATTGCAATATGCCCAAATCTTTGGTTCGATTCCGGACTCCAAGCTGACAAAGCTCTCCGAGATCTGAAAATGCCTGGCAGACTTCTCTGGGAGGACAGAAAAAACACTGCAAACACTGCATTAGTAGACCTCCACATTTCACAAGCTAAAAATGCAGTCAGTCACAGCTACGATATAATGGCTGGATTAGAACGAATGGTGTGTCCCTAAAGTACTAAGAAGCGCCGAACGCTTCACGCTTCATCCTTTGCAAAAAGGCTTAAGTTGACCGACATCTCACCTACCATTATGCCAACTTACCAATTCGTCAAGCACTCTATGTGTCAAAATATTATCAACACTTATCAAAAAAAACCAGTACCCCGGACTGACCGCTGATAATAACAAACTATTTTAACCTGCGGTTTACTATTATCAATAGTTAGATACACATAAATTAGAAACATCATGTGAAATCCTGTATTCGGAGTTGATCGATGTGCTGACCATGTAGAATTGTAAGGAGAAACATTTAAAATAAAAAAAGAATGAATTACAAACGATATTAGTACGAAAGGAATTCACATGATCACGTGTCAGCTTCAATAGATGAGGTTCAATGCATTCCATACAATACAAACGAGCACTTGTTTAGTTTGGAGGTTTCCTTTGGAACGAAGAGGGTTTCGGGAAGGAAATCCCGAGAGACACTTGGATTGGCCTCAGTATTTAAAATAACAAAGGTAATACGTCAAAAAACAGTAGAAGTCACGGCATACGAAGAGTGCAAAGAGAAAAAGCGGCGTGGAAGTGCCGCTTATGCCTTATTCACTTAATTCTGAATGAAGATGAACATCAAATGTTTAAAAAAAATCGCCGCAAACTAAAAATTTGCTGTCATCGGAAGAAATAAGTGCATTTAGGAAGAAATGATCCCGATTTATTGGACATGTTTTGATTTTGAAATGCTAAAAATCCCACCCATTAAAAAATAACTTGATTTAGGTGATTTATGTTCAACAACGATTGCGTATAGCACAGTGAGTGGAAGTACACTGCAATAACGCGCACTCTCTCGTTCGATCTTGCAACCAAAAAACCAAGTCCTCGTTTTTGCTGGATCTGAAGTTTCGTAGGAGAGTTGTGCAGAAGAGTAAAAGACATTAAAGTGATACATCGGTAGGCGCCCATATGTGCCTAATATGCCTTCAATCACCTCTGCAATGCATCTTGGAGTCGGCATATCATGAGGCATTCTAAGGGATCTATCAAAGGATTGCCAACACCAAGTGCTGTGTGCTTCATTAGTTTTACGTCTTGAAAAAACATAAAACCCGATAAAGTAACTCACATGAAAAGTACCGTAGGCGTCGGTAAAGTTGCTCACCATGCGATTCTTGGCCACACCGAAATTCGCCCGAATACCGAACGAAATTGCAAACCCGATATGTGCCAGAATAGAAATCTGCCATCGTACTTTTTTCAAGAAGAACCGATTCTGAAACGTAAACTTCATCCATGATGACCTTTCTTAGTTCGTTCTTTTTCTTTCTATTTTGTGGAACTTTGGACAGCAATACGACCAAAAGTGAATCGAAATAGAATTTCATAGAAAAGAGCTGGCTTTACTGCCACATTAACCTTATTTATTTAACAAAAAAAGTCCGAAATCTGCTACTAATGAAAATTTTTTGACAACATTTAATATGGAGACGTCTCTATTTTGAGGTAACAAGGAAATTTTTCGTGGTTCATTATTTTCTCACTGATGTTTCCCATAAGATTTTAGGGACTTTTAATGCCTTGCTTCTCTCCTTTCTTTATATTTGTCCGCTACAGCTGAATGTCGTAAAATTTAAAGAATAAGGGAAAACAGTGGGTGAAAAATATTCGATTTTCCTCTGAACCGTTCTCTTAACGAAGAAACGCTCTAGTCAGTTTTTAGCTAATAGGAAAAAAAATCACGATTTTCTTTTGGAGTTGAAGACGCAAAGGGACCTTTTGAAATAAAGAATTTGTTCAGATTTACATTTTACGAGTTAAAAATAGATCAAATAAGACGAAAAACAGTCTTTTAAAACTCTACAATGCCGTTAGTAAAATATTTTCGCAGGAAAATCGATAGTACAATAGCAAAGGGTAACAGGAAGAGAGATAGCTACTTGGTATTTAAACCAATAACACTTCTGTAAGAAAGAAAATTTCGAATTTTTGGAAGTTGCTTTCTCATCCATTGTCTCCATTTAGGGTCAGATCCATAAAACTAGAAATTTGTTGATAGCACTAAATAAAGTGTTGTCGAGAACACTCTCCTTCGTCTCCTTCCCTCGTTCCCTCTCTTCCCACCTCACTTTCCTTACCCTCTGGCCCTCACGAACCATCATCGCATCCCTAACATCTCTACGTGAAGAGGGATGTTGTTTTCCCATTTACGATACCTCTGGTTATGTTTTTCTCATGTCTGTCCAACAACAACATGTCAACGGCGATACATACAACAATGAGCTTTTTGTAGTAATAGTTTACTACAAAATAGCTTTAGTATGCGTTCATGACTTAAACGCTCAAAAAAACAGTGAATGGAATCGAAAAATGAGAAGTTGTTTCGGTAGAAAATTGTAGAAGCTGTTTCCGATCCCAACGATGTTTATCATTTGCTGCTTTTCTGAAGTACACGACTAGCTTATGATTTTGCCTTCATGAATACCTGACCAAATCCGAGCCCCGAAACTGTTTTCGATATCGATTTCGAAACCAAAAAAAATTGACAAAAACAAGAGAAAGTTTTAGTTCGTTTAAGAACTAAATTACAGAAGCCTTTAAAGTTGTGCGAGAGAAGCTACGTCTGAGTCAACATCTAGAATAATAAATTTGTTTCGAATAGAATATCAATTCTCTCACTTCTTCGATTTCTTCTGTTAGCAGCACTGGATATAACCAGTCCTCTGGAAGAATGATCGAAGCCCTTTTCTTATCAAATCGCTTGTCAACCGGTTCGGGAAACGCAGCCTCCGATTTTCAGCCCAGTAGGTATTTTTTAGACGTTAGTATATGGGAGAAACACCCACGCGCTATCTTTATACAACTGTGCGCTATTTTTCCAGCAGTAATCGTAAGTCCTTAAGTACTGGATTAATCAGTTCTATTTTAATCACCTACCGTTTCGACCAACGTATGCAGTTGTTCTCGATGCTCCCACTTCTTCATTGAAAAAGTGCGTCGCACCGAATTCGACAGTAATTCGCCAGCTTTTCGAATTGATCGTGTCGTGACCATGTGAGCACTGTAAGCGCGATCGCATCACTTTCAGGTTGAAGTTAGTTAAGTGTTCACGAAAAAAGTACCAGAAATGCAGACGTAAATCTGACACAAGAGTAATGATTTGAGATGATATGAGGTATTTGGAGAAGCAGAGGAATAAATTGAAGAAAAGAACGAAGATCAGAAAAGGGCAAAATGAAAAGTGAAGCAGATTTAGTGGCAAAAAGCAACTCGAAAATTCTCCTTATCTATTTAGGAAAGCAAATCTTTGCGCAAGAAAGTGAAAAGGACATGTTTTTTAACTCCACTGACTTATCAAATATCTTTCACGAGTTAAAAAAGTGCACCGAACAAACTGTGAGCGCGGGTTATAAATCGACCTTAAATTTAGCATCTACGTTTAAAAAACGTTTGCTAGCAGTAGGTAGCAGGAGTGTCTCCCAGTGGTTGAAATTAAAAAGTAGGAAAATACTAAATAGATCAGTATTACAATTAGAATAGCACACATTCTAGAGTAGTAGAGAACTGAGGCGAACGTAGTGGAAAAGGACTTCTCTGAGGTATTCACCCTTAGGCAGAACAACTTCTTATGCAGCAGCAGACTATCACAAACGTGTCGTGAGTGACTTAGTGACGATGAGATGAGCGGTTCCGATTTTATGACTACGCCTGGTCATATTTACGTCGCTGAATGAGAGTGCGCGTACTGATGAACGACAGGCTGCTGATCGGTAGCACTTTCATAGCCTTAACAGCCTTCAAATGGCACAAATGGATAACGAAATTTCAGATTACTGTATGATTGAAGAAAGTCGATCACTAACACTTCAGCTGTTATTCGATAGCCGATATTCGACCATATCCGATAGTTGTTCAGAAAACTTCATGTGGAAAACTTAAAAGACTGAATGAGCACCAGATTAATAAAAAGATCTATTCGGCTGAGGTTCCGACGTTCTCGCCTTTCTCAGAGAAAACTTCAGGAAGAAAGGCACTGAAGAAGACGAAGACGTTGAAAGATCAGCCAAATAAAGCCTTTTCTCAACCTCGCGTTGGCTTAATAATCCATGAAGGTGTTGATTATTTGTCCCAAGGCGACATGGCAGTCAGTTGTGAACATGTTGTTTCATAAATCAATAACGGGATTTTTGAATGAGAAAGCGTTAGATCGAGAATCACTACATCGTACTATCTAACACACGGTTTTAAAAAAATATTGCAGGATAATGATGTCTGTTAGTCAGAAGGAAATTGTTATAATGAGCTAAATAGGAAATCGCTCCATTGGCGGCCGTAGAAAATATTATAAAAATTTTTCCAATGCTGGACATTTTCCCAAAGCAAAACTGCTGCTGGTGCGAAATTAGAACAAATCCATTATTAATACTTTTGACATGACATCCACTAAGGAAGAAAGGAGGAGGAAGAAGAAGAAGAATTATGAACTCCCGTAAAAAATTATAGCATGTTCTACTAATTCGTTCACTAACTCTGCAAGCTTAATTGACCACATTAGGCTTATTAAAGTCCCATAAATAATATTTTTCATAAGAAACTTTATAACTATTGTCAATTACAGTACTGCTAACTGCAAAGGGTAATTCTTAAGTGGTTTGCTAAAAAATTCTTCCTTTAAGAAAGCACTTAATGTTTCACGGTGATCAGATACGTAGTGGGAAAATTGCAGAGATGAGAGAAGAAAATCCGAATAATTGCGGAACTGATCGTATAGGTGACACTGAGAGACACGCAGAATGACAACTTTCCATCATTACGATGTCATCACACCGTTCGGGTGGACCCACCCACCCAGCCAACCCCATCTGGGCTGCTTGTGCCACATCTTTGAAAATTTTCGGGCATCCACCACCTGCACGAGAAATTCTATATGAGAAACGATTAAAAGTCGTCAAAATCGTTCGTTCGCTTTCATTTCACCATAACCTCCTAGGAATTATTGCACGTCAAAGCCGATATTTTTACTTTTCTTCTTTTTTTCATCGAAAAATGTTCTCTCACCTACTTGGGAGCGATATATATACCGTCATTGGGAATTCTTAAACCCCACATTACAATGGACATAAGAGAATTAATACTTCGAACACGATTAAAATCTTTCACATCGTTTGTATTTAGTTCATCTTACAACACTTTCCAGAAGGAGTCCACATAGACGTAAACCTTTTTCTGCATTCCTTGGTAAATTTCCTTTCACCCTTTTAATGGAACTGTTTTTGACAATCGAGTCGTTTAAACCTTAAATATGGCATTTCTTCTTCGTTTTCCTTAACAAACAACGTATTCGTTATTTTGACAGCTTCATATGTGACATTCCTATTCCGCATTTCTTTTTGTTTCGTTAAAACTAGTTCTTCTTTTACATTACAGTGATGGACTTAACTCTACTTATCTGTAGAAGCTGACCCATGCAAAAATCGCAGATTACTCTTTCAATTTTTGGAAGTGATCTTTTTCAGGCAAGTGATAAAAACTTGTAGACTTCAAAGAATTTTACTTTAACTGATGGAGTTCACCAAGATTTGAGTTAGATTGGTTTAAAGTTGAAGAACTCGACCATTTCTTAGACCAAAACTTTACACTTACGCATTGAAATCAACGCGCGACGCAGCGGGTATGCCAGCTAACCTCAAGTAGTATTCAGCTCTCTTAATGAAGAATAGAACGAAAAATAATCAGAATAAATGGTGAGAATATCGACAGCGCAAGTATGGAAGCGATAAGTTATGTGGATTAGTGAAATAACGATATTTTCTCGAATTGAGACGAGACAAAACCTTCAGCTGACTGTTTTATCCACTATAAACCAAATTAAATCTTGTCTAATTTCTTTGCTAATTTCTATCCACTCATAAACATTTCTTTCGTATATTTCATTAGCACAACACCAAACCGCATAAAAACCGGTTCAATACACGCGCAGAGAAAATAATGGAAAGAAAAATAGCAAAGCAAGAAAAGCCAGCTCTATACCTAATTTCCAAGACCATCTGTATCTAATATATTTTCTGAAAAAGAAGCGAATGTTCTGAAAAATTCTCAGTACTGAATGGAAAAACCGCTTGTTTACAAGAAAATGAAATAAAAGAAAATCACGTTGGGGTTATAGATCCAATCAAAATGCAGGCCGAGAGGAATGTAGAAACAAGTTAAAGCTAAGTTTGGGAAACGTCGTTTTCTATTACTTCATGCGCTTCAACTCATAAGTGAGTGGAAGCCGCGGGGGTAGCCCTTTAAATAGCAGCGTTTTCCGACCAATCACAGGCCAGTTAATAATGATCTCAACCAGTAAAAAAAAATTAACTACGGTGGGAAAATTCCGAGTGTTGACAAGAACTGACATTGAATTTGACAAAATTTTCTTTTTACTGCGGACCTATCGCCGTATAAAGACGCCGCCGACAATGTAATTATCTAATAAACTATGAAATTGCGGCAAACTACAGCATTCGTGGACTTACGTTTAAATTACCGTAAGCAATGGGATGGGTAAAAGAAAAAAGACCTGGTCCTTGTGCTTTTCCTTTCCTTTTTCTCATTTTGGGTGATCAGTAGAGTAAACTACCAGCTCGCAGTGTGTTGCCATATAATTCACATTATGTGCTGATATATTACAACATATTCGCGACTATACGCAATGATTTCGATGTGTTCCCTTTGAACCTACTTTCTTTTTCCGCGCAGACTGCTTACAAAATACTTTATTAGAAAACGATTTGGTTCCTGAACGTAGATATTGCATTAGGTGAGGTCAGATTCCTTGCTTGTCGGAAGGTCCAACAACGGAGAAGACTGGATGTTCTCGCTCTGGTAGTTCTCTTTCAAAACGCAAACGTCGAGTTCAATGCAACTGTTGCACTGGAAAAATTCTTGGAATTGCGGATGTGCTAGGTATTGTATTATGCTGCTACGGATCCTTCGGTCTGGAAAATCACTAGTGGCGGTTAATGGTGGAGCTACGTGACACGTTCCATGATAGCGCTGACCAAGGTAGACCACATACCTACACTGAGACAGAATATGACACTAATGTGTTCAAGAGACGAAGTCCATCGCTTTATCCTATGGGATTAACTTAACATAACTCCCGTAAGAAAATAATTATATCCGTAAATACTTAAATGGCTAAGCCTACGGATGCGACAGTTGT